AGAAATATTGACGGAGTCACCTTGACCGCCATGCTGGATGTGACGTCAGCCGCAGTGGACTAGCGCAGGCGCTGGGCATCGGGATGACAGCGGAGGTCCGAGACAGCGCACTATTTTTAGCCAGATTGTTGTCCTTTTGCTGTGAACAAGGCGCAGCTGAGATGGACGCTCCGGACAGAGACACTTGGTCAGCAGATGTGTTACAGCATTTCCGGTCTGCACGGGGTCAAGTGAGGACACGCTGTACTGTGTGGTAGCCCTGCTCATAACAAACAGCAGGACAGAGAGGTGAAAAGAACAAATGTGGATAAAGTCTCTAAAGCGGGAGAGAGTATCTTAATTTAAAAAAAAAAATACGTTATTTATTTAATTATTGGAAAAAATCATATCGTGAAATGAAAAATGCCCAAAAGAATTTTCCACAGTTCATATTCTAATTATAGTCTACTCGGTTTAGGATAATATAAAATAAAGAGAGAGAATCATTTTGGCGAAAGTGATCATATATGCTTAAAACCTCCACGTAAAAATACAGTTTCAACAATCAACTATCATATTTGTGTGTAGCCATGGTAAAATAAATAAAAATAAATAAAAATTACACCCCACGTCAATTCTAAGGTTTTATATGTCAGGACATAAAACATATTCAAAACCAGGACTTACATTTAAGTAAATGTATCCTTATCAGTCTCTCACATCACTGAAGAACATTGCTTCAGTTCACTGTTTTTATGCACAGCTCTCTTAGATCCCACCACAGCTTTTCAGTCAGGTTGGGATCTGGTGTCTGGGCCATTGCAGCACTATGACTCTTTTTCAGTCATTCTGTTGTAAATTTTCTACTTTGACCATTGGATCGTTGTCCTGGTGGATGATCCAGTTTTGTCCGAGCTTTACCTGCCAAACACGTAGCCTCGCCTTTGACTCTAGAATACTTTAGTGCACATAGGTGGTCTCAGTGACTGCTCTATAGGTCCTCTGGCTGCAAAATAAGCCCAAATCGTCACTCCTCCATTGTGCTTGACAGTACGAGGTGTCAGTAGGCTATGTTTGGTTTGTGACAAACATGGTGCTCTGCATTATTAACATCTTGTCTTTGGTCTTGTCTGTCCAAAAGACATTTTACCAGAAGTTTTTCAGATGCAGCTTTCCAAACCTAAGCTGTGCTGGCATGTTCTTTTTTGGGAAAACCCACCAACCCTTCCGAACAAGGCATATTACGCTGTAAAATAAAGACCCTGTCGTATTAGAGAGAAAACTCCAACAATGACATGATTGCCTGTGAACTTGAATTAAATGACAGTGGGAAGGAAAAACACCCTTTTAACAGGAAGAAACATCTGGCAAAACAAGGTTCAGGGATGGGCAGCCATCTGCCTGGGGGTGAGGAGATATTGGTGGAACCACATCAAAAGTCACCAGCAGAAACTAATGAAACCACATTTCACTTATTGTTGGTTCTTCTTCAGTTCCAACAACATTTAATACATCCTGAACTGTCATCGATGGTCGGCCAACAGTTGCGTATAGTCTAGCTCATTGGGACTCTCAGGGTAAAACATCTGGCAAACATGTTTCACTGTAACATGAATCATTTTAGCAGCTCTGGTTAGGCTGCCTCCTCCAGCTCCCTCACAGATAAGAGAGCTGGTAGCTAGTAGTTGGGTTTGAGGTCCTGCTTTGGACTCGACTTGGAATCAGACAAAAATGGGGGTTCAGAAAGGTGGTTGCTCACAGGTTTATAGGTTGACTAGGTTTTGTTTTTCTATAATGTTACTCAGTATAACAGTGATTTTTTAAAGTGCAGTCTTTAGCTGTAATTGTGTGTCTTTATCTTTGTTGTGGTGCTGTTATAATTCTTCTTCTGGATGGCTCCCTTAGGGGTCACCAAAACAGGTAATCTGATCATCTATCACACCCACCCTCTACACGTCCTCCTTTACTACATCCATAAACCTTCTCCATGGTCTTCCATTGGTACTACTTTAACTGATCCCTTTAATTTGAATGTATTTATCCATTTCATAATGATAATGTGTCAGTCCTGGTGCTTGAGGCTTGGAAGGACCTGAGACTACCACAACCAGGTTGACTGAGAACCTATACATACACAAGAAGCCCTTTTCTTTCAGCTTCTTGTTTTTCTGGTTTTAAGGTCTATGATAAGGTTTATTTAGTTTTGAAAAAGTTTTTTCCACATAAAGGACTGGTGGATTTCCGTGTGCAACAGGGAAATGCAGTTAAATGCAACATTTCCCTTCAGTTACTGATGCATTATTTTATCCAAGTGTCATGGCCTTGAAAGGCAATGGCAGTTTGCAGTCCCTGAAGCAGAACCTGAGACTTGACAGTTTATAGTTCTACAGTTTTATTTGCATTTAATTAGGAGTGACAAGTGAAACGTGTAGGGGATTGGTGGGACCGGAGAGAGAATTAGTCCAGGCCACACTGTGAGTCATCGATTGCTTAATAGTGCAGATCAATATTCTTACTTGGAAGAAGGAAGGAGAACACAAAGGGGGAGCTACTGGTCAGGTTTCTGTGGGAGTTCAGCACCACTGGAGGGCAAACAAGCAGGCGAGTCAGAGAGATGAGTGTTTGGCCAGAATCTTCCAGATGAAATAGACCAGTTTTGTGGAAACAGGTAAGTGTATCTTGGAGGGACTGTGCTTTTAAGTTGTACAAGAACGACTGGAAAACAAGACAGTAAGGATGTAATCACTGCGTAAACTCAGCGGGGCACTAAAACCATGAAGGAGCCTGATTACCGCTCTACAATAAACAGCAATTTGGCAGAGATGGAATACTGGAGCTGGTTCTTAAATTCAGTTAGATGATGAGTCTGATACAGCAGGCACAGGAGACCCCACCTGCAGGTGAAGCCCAGGCATGTCCAGACCATCCATAAACTGAAGAGCAGTGTTAGAACAGAGGAAAACTACTGACGAGTGTTAACATAGTTTAGTCAGTGTTCCTATTATTTTGTGCTTAATCATAGTTATAACATATCAATAAATGCCAGGGTTCAAACTAATAACCTTACAGCTTGGCCATATCATTTTATTATCTGAGCTACTTTTGCTAACCACTGCCACGCCACTAACGCAGCCAATTCAAATGCAAACTATTGAATACGGTAGTAAATGTCTACAAGAGGAATTCCTGCACAAAACCTTTTTAATACTGCAATGTTATATTTCCTAACTTCCTCCACAGCGAGGACTTCTCCAAAAAAAGGGGGGGAAAAGTCCAAATGACTGTAGTTTGAGGTTCAGAGATCAAGCAGCATGCATTGCCTCCATGCAGACACAATTTGTTACCTAAGGATTGTAAAAGGTATAGTATTGTTCAGGAAAAGGATAATCTAGTGCTGATAGTGTGGTAGAGGTAAAATTACAGTGGCTTAAACATGACTGGGTAGGTCATTCATTGGTGCACCTGCAGGACAGAATAGCTTAGGCTGGGATGATAGCACAACATTACCTGGGCTCAGAGGGATGTTCAAAATTGCACTTTCCCCTAGAGAGTAAATTTCTGTTTATTTCATTGAGATATCACAGTAGTCTAACCTAACCACTTTCTTTATTCTCACCAACTTCACTGTCCAAATATGTTGGACTTTTATCCAAAATGTGCTGTTTTCCCCACATTTGTATGACAGTAATCAGCTGTGCATGTGGTGTGGGATGATTTCCCCTCGGGCTTTCATTTTACTGGATTTTTTTTTATTTTTTGAAGAAGAAAGAAAATATGAAAATACACATTTAAGTTAAACACATTACTGCCTTGACTCAGTAAAAATGCCTTTAACTGGGTGTTTAAGTCCACTGGATTTTACTCCTATTTCACATGACAAGTATAACTCTGATAATACTTTCTTTTGTTTTTTTTTTCTTAGTCATAATACATTTAGATAGATATTTAGATGTTGAAACATCAACATCTAATTCTGTTTATATGTCATCACATAACACATCTGAACCACCTAAATTTCAGTATTAAGATTTGTGACTGATCTGAGTGGGAAATTGTATAGGTGAAAGTCAAAACTGTCTGGTCAATAAACCTCATTCTTGTCATTTTAATAATATTAGTATCATATCTTTGCCTCTTAGAGTAATGCAGCTTTAATATCATACTTAAATAATTGGAGTTAGTGATAATAAAGTTAGGCTACCTTCATTCATTATCATTATTTGCTAAATTTTAAAGATATGTGACATAACTACTTATCATTTGTATTTGTCCTGCATTTTTCTAAGGTACAATCATGTGAAAAAGAAAAGAATACCCCCATTATACAATAGCTTGTAGAAACAGCTACATAAGCAATAATTTTCTGGTAAAGGTAAATATGTGTATATCATGTGTGTTTAGTTTTAGCCAAATGGGGTGCTGTGCATTATGGCCAAATATCTTATGTTTAACATTTTACACACTATCTGAGGCCTGTACAGTCTGAGATGGAACTCTTGGGTTTTCTGCAGTTTTCCTGAGCATTGCAAAGCCTGAAATTGGTTTGAATTTAATAGAATGTCCACTCCTGGGAAATGAGTTAACACACACATGAATGCTCCAGTCCAGCAAAATGCCAAAAGTTCTATTTTTTATAGGGATGGACACACTTGTTGATCAAGTTCATCAAGTGTTTATGAAAAAAAGGGCTATGAGAAATTACAGTACGGTGTAGCATGTTAATAGCTAAAAAACAGAAAAGTGTTCCTTTAAGAAAAAAAGAAAAAACAGATAATCACTTTGATGAAACGATGAACGTATCTCAGTTCAGTGTTTTGTTTTTTATTTGGCGTGTAATGACGTAATCGTCACTTTTTTAACTTTTAGTTTAATCCTGTTTTTAGATATTATGTTTTAAATCTTGTAATAACTTATAATACATTGTTGATATTTTGTGAAAGAAAAACTTTAAATGCTTTAATTTCTTTTACACTTTACTAAAAAAAAAAAAAAAAAAAAAATTCACATCCTGTTGTCACGGAAACACGCGGACCCGGAAGTCCTACTAATTCCGCGGGTCTTTTGGGACAACACTGCTACGTACAACACAGTGTGCAGAAATGGCGGGTAAGGTCGCTAATCGTTTTAAGGTTGGGTTTCCTTGTCTTTGTTTTAATGCTGTTCACTGTCAGGTGGACTTCAGTGCTGCTTTAAGCTCGCTGGAGTTGTAAACCAGCTCGCGATGTCTTCGAAAACACAACGTTAGATTTCGGAGGCAGCAGCTGGCCTGTTTGCTAACGTTAGCACCCCGTTATCAAGCTGATAATGTTTGAATGCTTGTGTGCTTCTGTAAGGCTTTGATTTCAGGTTGAATATAGGCTTTGAATAGAGGGATGATGCGCATGTAATGTTAGTTTAGACCGTTTTATGTAACGTGGAGTAGCTGACCAAGTGTTTATATTCTGTTTGCGTGCCTTTATGTAACATCTTGACACATATTTTGAACTAAGAGGCTGGCATGCTTATTTGATAGGACCACACTAGTAGCTCATCCGGTCAGAGCACTGGATCTACAGTTTTACATCGTGGTAAATCTCTGTTTGTCCATGGGTTGCACAGCTATAGTCCAGTTAGGTATAAGTCGGGCTTGAGGCAGAGTTTAAAAGAGCTGTTGATGTTTGCAACAATAGGGTTCTTGGTGGCAGGTGAGGTTGTTCACATAATCAGTCATAAGCTGGAGCAGTGGCTCTCTAATGGCCAGCCTCATTCTGCCGACTAGACATTATTGTAACTGCAAAAGTAATAATGAAATTTAAATTTACTACATTATTACACATCAGTGGCCCTTGTGGAAAGTGGCGAGGAGCTAAAACCTGTCACTTTTTATTTCCCTCTTGATAAACTGAGCAAACTCTGTTTGCAGTAGTGACCCACAGGTTGAGAAATTAGGACAGGCAGAAGTCCCTGCTGACTAGGATGTTTGCAGATGACATTATGATCCGTAGTGAGAGTAGGGAGCAGGTGGAGGAGAGGCTGGAGGTGTTCTGTGGAGAAAAGAGGAATGAAAGTCAGTGGAAGCAAATCAGAATACGTGTGTGTGTACATGAATAAGAGTTAGATGGATTGGAAGGAGTGGAGGTCATGAAGGTGGATGTTTAAATACTTGCGATGAACTCCGTGAAGGAAGAGATTGTACAAGAGAGGTGGAGATGAGTGTTTGGGGTGATTGTGGCAGGAGGAAGTTGGAGAGGCTGAGATGGTTTGGACATGTGCAGAGGCGGGATAGTAGATACATTGGACAAAGGATGTTGAAGATGGAGCTGCCTGGCAAGGAGATAAAGAGGAAGACCTCAAAGTAGATTGATGGATGTACTGAAGGAGGACATGCAGTGGATTTGTGTGACAGAGTTGATGTGATGTGATGAGGTGGAGTCAGATGATCAGCTGTATTCTCAGGGTGAAATGGAACAATTGTTAACATACTTTGTTTCCTCTGTGTTGCCCCAGATGTAAACACCATGGAAAAGAAACTGGCTGAGTACAAGTGTGACACCAATGAAGCTATATCCTTGAAGCTGGGTAGGTTTTGTTTTTTCTTCATTTCCCATGTTGTGTTAATGAATAAATGCGTGTATACATTTCCAACATTTTGTGGTACGTTTTCCTAATTTCACACTTTAATTGAACATGTTTTTTTCCCCTTCACTCAGTTCGCTTTCCAGAGGATGTTGACGACGACAGCACCACATTCCACCCCGAGTACAGCCACCAAGTCTTTGGAGACGAGTGAGTATTTATAATGATACAAACATAATGTTATCAGGTTTAAAAAATGCAGTTTTTTCCATGCATAAAAACAAAATTAGACAGACACCTTAATGGTAGTTACTAAGTCTGTTCAAATCCAGCTCTCAGGCCCTCTTATCACTCAGGTGTTATGTCAGTTTACAGTTTAGTAAAATAAAACTACAGGGCTCAATACTTGTAGCAGTGTGACTATAAATTTTGTTTTTCACTATACAATTCCCTTGGCTTGTCTTTCTTTGGCTATAAAGTCTAGCGTTCCTTTTGGGTTCCTGCGTTGACTTTATAAAGATGTATTGAAGACATTAACAGTAATTGGCCTCCTTAAGAAAACATATTCATGAATCTTTAATTAAGACGCAGTAAACAGTCAATACATGAGCTGACTGGTAGTGGTTACTGTCTGTTTACATTTTGTGATTTAAGCAATAATTATAAGTGGCATGAATTTGGAGATTAATCTTGCAAATGCAGTAATATGAGGAGGAAATTATGGATGATTTTAGGCCAACAAGTTCATTTAATAACAGCACCCAAATTAAACTCACCTTCAACATCTTTTGAACAAGTAATTCTTTCACAGAAGTTATTGGTGATATAATGACTTGTAACTGTTTACTGCTGTTTGAGCTGAATGGTGGCTGGTTGATCTCTGACACAGAGTCTGCAAGAAATCAGCAAATTTTTAGATGTATAATAAGCATGATGCTGGAGTTCTGAAGCTGATGATGATACAAGTTTTTTTTAGGGAGTCCAAAATTCAGATACTGTGCTACATATGATCAGTGATTTCTGGTGTTCTCTTGCTAATGCTGCGCAGCGCTGGACTGTGAGCACAGGTCCTACCAAAGAACGTTAGGACGTCTTGTCACCGTCCCAGATTCTGACACTTTGTTCTGCTGCATGCAAAGGAGCAGATAACAGTCTCTTCTACAGCCCGTACCAGCTCTGCTCTTGTAGCAGCCTGTCTCTTCCACTTATGCATGGATGTGCCATCCTGGTGAAGTTGAACTGCTTCTGCAACATGAATGGAATGCCGGTGCCATCTCATGCTACCAGGAGTGACAGGGACACCAGGAAAAAGCAAAACTAGAGATAAATCGAACAGGTTGGCTTAGAAAAGAGTGGCGGTTTTGTGGCCACCACCTGGAAAACCATTTCCCTTTTTGGGGGTTGTCTTCTCCAGTCCCTTCAGCTTGCACTGATTTAGCTGAAATGGAGTCACAATCATTTCTGCTTCATAACTGGACAGATCAGTCTCCCCGAAGTTTAACAGAGTTTGTGTTATATTGTGATTAAGTGTTCCTATAATATTTTTTGAGCAGTGTAAACTGGCTGCCTCCCTAGAATTGATTTGTTCAAAGCTCTGCAAGCTGCGGCGAGATTAGATCTACTAAAACTTTATCCCAGTTTATTTAAAACTGACACACTTTGATGTTGTGCTTCTAGAAGTCATAATAACTTTGCCTTTTAACCATTTTTCAAAGTAAATATTTTTACAAGAGTCATATCGCACGCTTGTCTCTTAGTCTGACTGGATGCAAACACAGTGGTGGCCAAATCACAAATCACAGCTCGTGGTAGTTGAGAGACATTGTTCGTCTGGGACAAGCCACCAATCAATCACAAAGCATAGAGACAGAAAACAATTAAAGCTTGTATTCACACCAATGGGCATTTTTTATTTGCTAGTTAACCCAGCACTTATGGAAGAAGCTGGTGTGCCTGAGGAAACCCGTGCAAGCAGAGGGAGAATACACAAAATCCACACAGACAGGCCTCAACCAGTAGTGGGTCTGAATCCAGGACATTGTTGCAGAGAGGCAGCAAAACACCAGATAACAAAGTTGCAAGTTTATAACCCTGCTAAACATTAGGATCAGTGTCTACATCATGACTGTCTACATCCAAAATTCAGGAAAGGGAACCGTTTCAGAAGTACAGCAGAGCAAAACCAGTGTTAAGAACTGGATCCATCCATCTGCTTGTTCATGGTTGTGCGAGTGGTTCTGTTGCAGAAGAAATGGATCTGATCTACAACTTCACTACTGCTGCTAGTTTGACAGCAGCTCAGGAGATGTTGTTGGACTAAGGCATTTCACAGATGGTGATAAGTTTCGGAGCATCAGACTTCACATGCTGCACTAAAATATACCTCTTTCCATATATACTTTAAAAGACTGAGCCATAAAAGTGGCAGCAAACTTTACCAGACATCCAGTCTTACATGCTGTATGTATTAATCAATATCAAAGTGGGCTACTTTTATGATGATTAATTTGCAAAAACACTGCAAGACTCAGAGGGCCCTGCGTATTTTTATGGACATGCCAATTCAAAGTCAGCCTGTATATACATCCACGTCACAGTGGTTCTCCTTTGTTGATAATAAGAATGATAAATAGTTCAGTCATTTCAGAAATGCAACAAAGCATGCTATTAGTGATGTTAAATGTTATGACAATGCAAAAATGAAGTACCAGTTAATCATAAATGGCCCACTGCAGAGTCGTCACATAGCTAAAGATTTGAATCATTTTCACCTATTAGTAATGTTGATAGGCTAATTTATTTTAAAGCCTCTGGCATCTTCATTATAAGACTCAAATGTGTCTCCATACAGTTGTAATAGTAAAGGTCCTGAGCCTTGCACATTTTCTTTGCCCCTGTCAGGGTTTATGAAGTGTGATTCGGTCTGATAAGTGGCCCCTGGAGTGCATGAGTTACTCCACATTTAAACTGCCCACACCAGTGGTTTGATTAAGGATTTTTACTTGCATTTTAAGGTAACACATCCCCACCCCCCCTAGTTTTAGTCAGTTAACTGATTTTATTAATGACTAGCAGAAAACTTTGCTGTTGCGTCACTGACAGAAAGTTTTAAAAATAATATACGTGATCTTTTTATGTGATTCTTCCTGATGGACAGCACACAGTGATGTTTCCAGTGTCGGATTCACAGAAAGGAACATAATGTGCGAACATAAATGATAATTGGTCTTGCATGTTATTGTAGAGCTGCGAAATTACTGTAATGTGATGCACAAAAGAGGCACTGAACCGGAGCAACACTGCATTATTGGCAGTGACACCTGTGTCGGCGCATAGACTTACAGTAGCACGTCGTTAACGTTTCTAAATTGCATTTCCAAATTAGTCAAAACTAGGATTGGTTATTTTTGCACTTGCTGCAATCAGCTCAAAGGGAACTCTGTAATTGGGGCATTAATTATTTCGGCAAGCGTAATTGCTAGTAAACCTTAATCACAGTTGCATAATGATGAATCTATTTTGTCATAAACTGCCAGTGATATAACGATGAACGAAACAATGCAGCACAGCGAAATAAGTGACCTGTGATAAGCATTTATTATAAACTCCAGGTGTATATTTGTTTTTATGTAATGGGAATAATTGATGTTCGTTATTGTCCCTCTGAACATTACACAAAGCAGTCCTTTTTACAAATCACTGCCCGACTTTTTGTAATCTTGTTTGGATTTTTAGTAATTTCAGTCATTTTCTGTGCAGTGAGGTTGCTTTTGGCTACAAAGGTCTTCAGATTCAGCTCTTCTACGCCGCGGGGAACCTGAGTACCCTCTTCAAAGTGAAATATACCTCAAAAGTCACAGAGACGTACGACTGTGTGGAGGTAAGTCATTTCTTTATGCCGTTCTTTTATCATACTTGCATCAGCCTCTTTGTTGTGTTATCGTGGGGACAATAGACAGTAGATACCGTGTTCTGCTCACTGTTTATCACAATCAGAGGCCGCCAGTATAGACATAAACATAAAAATAATACTTGAATATGAAGAAAAGATGACAAAACTTTGCCTCCTGCTGAAAAGTAGTGTTTTTCTTTCCAAAAACTGCTCTATTGTGCTTTTAATAATTATGTAAAACACAGTCTAGCCCGAGAGTGGATTTTTCACTTAATCATTTATTGTGTAAGTGTTGTTGAGTCATGACGCCTGCATCAACACAGTCTTGCTTTATTTAATAATTTTTTTTTTGTTACAAAGTTTCTACATGCTAAATACCAGCTGCTAAAAGTTTGAATTTCATTCATCAGGTGGTAGATAATCAGTGAGAAACTCGTGTTACCCTGTGTCTGCGTAAGAATATGCTTGTCTGGTACAACTGTGTGAGTGGAGTCCAGTCATACCGATGTAATACACAGCACTGTAAACAAACATGCCACAACATCTAGTAACAATTAGCCAGAGATGTTTTTAATGTCCAAATCAAGTCAGCTCAGTGTACTGATCCAAAACTTTGGGGGGGGTGTAACCAAACGCTATGTTCAGCTTAATCCAGCTCAAGTGTACAAACAGGCCGACTGAGCTAATGAAAGTCTAGTGCGGAGGTGATAAATGTCTTTCTCTCTCTCTCTCACTCACACACACAATTTTGTCACTGAATTAAAAGCAAGGTGGAAATGTTCAGGAGAGACGAGGTCCAATCACAACTAATTGAATTGTGTGGAAAGGCAGGACAAGTTTGGAATTGATCCAATCAGAAGTAATCTTGCCAATCTTATCTGTTTTCTAAACTTTGAACAAGGCTACTGGCCTGAAACTGGCTCTCAACCCCCTACTTGCTCTCTTTGGTGATAAGTATATTGCCGGGTGCTGTCCTTTGGTTCCCTCCTGGCTAGGTGTGCCATTTTGATGAGGTGGAAGGCCACTGCCCCGCCCACCCATGTTCAGTGGCTTGCTGATCTTATGTCGTGTCTCAGTCTTGAAAAGATCCACTGCTCCATCCAGAACCAAAAGGGCACATATGATAAAATCTGGGGTCCTTTTCTGTCAAACTTCTCTAACCTTCAATTTAAGGATGTTCCTGCTGACTAACAGATTTGCTTATTCCGTAGAGGTCTGATGTGTGTCTGTGTTAATGGGAATGTGAAGCTCAGTGATGTTGCAGCTAACTTCTGTGTGGTTTGTAATGAAAGGTCTTGTTAGTATCAATCACCCCTTCCGGGTTGTGGTGTTTTGTTAACTTTTCTTTTGCCTATGCTCTAACGTGAGAAGTTCTGCTCTGTATTCAATGTAACCAGTTTTTGCGTTTCCATTCTTTTTCCTTTTTGTAAACTGTATACACAATCGCTCAACAAAAACACTTTGAGTAGAAGTAATCTTGTGCAGTAAGGTTTGATGTGCACATTTGATTTCCCCCACACAAACAGGGTGGGTACTGCTACCTCCCATGCTCCCTGTTTCATGGAAGCACGACACAATGTCAACACCCGGGAGGAGGAGAGTAGACATATGGAAATGTTTTGCATTTGATGTCACCTACAATAAGAATCTTCATAAACAATGTGGCTCAATTGTTGTTGATTTAGTCCGCTATAATCTTACACTCAACTAAATCGAGACTAAAAGTAGAACAGCTTAGGTGACTAAAATTTGACTAAAACAAAATCAAAGTTTGCTGTTAAAATTAACACTGTATACCGTTTAAATCGGTCCGGTTCGTTTGGGTGGATGTGAACACGCTAACGCGGTAATCACGCTTTAGCATGTTGGGTGGGTGTGGTACAAAACTGCTTACAGCCTGAAAGGACAGTTTGATCTGTCCTTTAACAGTAACAGTTACCTGATAAGACGCATTAGTTACATTTTATGCAAAAAAAAATGTAAAAAGAAATACAAGAAAAAGCCTCTGTGCGTTAGGCTTTCACTGGGTCACTTTATGACCAGCTAGGCTTGCAGTCCACTGATGGAAACTCTGATAATGATAAAGAGGAAGGTGTTGCTAGCCAGCCTGCCAGCCTGGGACATCGTGTCGAACAACAACTGTATTTTTATTTGAACAAAACTAGATGACGTCATCAAATTCAAACTGATTCTTTCAGTTCAATTTTTGAAAAGGATACACATTTGCAGTTTATTCATACAAGTTTATCGTTTTTTTGAAATAGCAAAAACAAATAGCTGAAACTGCAACTTCGTCTCGAAGTTAACTTTGATTTCACCTTACTGTATTTAGATTCTAGTTTAATTTGTGATGCCTGCTTCCATCACACATGGTCTTAAATTTAAAGCTGTCTTACAAGAGTCTTAAAAGAGAGTCCTAAATTTCCTCTGTAAACAAACAAGTCAACTCAGCTCCTCTCTGAATCCACTTTGGTAAACAGTAGAAAACTGTGTAAAAGATCTGAAGCGCCTACGACGCATTTCTGTTAATCTGAGAAGGGGGGGAGACGTGTATTGTATTTTTGACAGTAGTTTTGCGAATGTTAGATTCGATACCCCGTGTCACGTATAATTTGTGTGTTTTGAACTAACAGCAGGTGACGGGAAAAGCGTAAATGGAACAGGATTTTATTTTATTTGTCAAAACATATCAAAAAAACAGCTCAACATATCAAAGTATGGCACAAAAGATGTCCTTATTAATCTGAACTTTTTAACAAATCAGGCTGTAATTTTCATAGACCAACACGAGGCAGCTTCCCTGAGGCGTTTCCTCCCTAATTGTGCGATCGATTACACGTTAAGGGAAGCAGATAAACCTAAGGCGCTTCAACGGAGGGCCCTCGCAGCCTCTCCCGGAGGGGAGAGCGTGACATTATTCCAGTTAGAGATCTCCTGTTTTGTTAGACTAAATCTCATCACACCACGGTCCCCTGTGTGTCTGCGCTAATCCCACTCCTCCCTCTGAAGAGAATGGTTGTATAAGCGGGGGTCCAACACGAGGCATTGATTTTTAGAGCTTTCTGTAATGGAATCAGCAGGGGGAGTAATGTGACCCGGTTGGATGTATCGTACACGTATTTGTAGGAGTGAATTATTGCTCGAGTTATTGACAGTTGAGCTCCTTGAGGCCGAATGTGTGTAAACGTATCAAAAAAGGAGATGCTTGTTTTATCTAACGACGACTGCTGATGACTTTATAGTTAATTTTAACTCTCGTCTGCTTAGTATGTAAAGTTTCCTGCCATTTCTTTTTCTTTTTCCCTTTTTTTTTTTAATTGCCAGTCAGAGTTATTTACATATGAACGGCCAGTATTTGGACAAAAGCGGACAGTAAAGCGAAATGCTTGTCCTAGGTTCTCTTCTTCCTCTGAGACTTCACAAAAGGCCACTGGCAGCTTTGAATATTTCCTCACGCTGTCAAACATGCAAAATGAATACCAGAATTAGCAAGGGCCCCTACTGAGGTCAAATGATTCAACTGGGGGACATCTGTCTTGTCTGCAAGCAGCAGGGGGGCTTCGCTACTGGACAATGTGGCCTTCAACTGGTGGTAGTGGAAGTGCTGGTATAACTTAGTTTGGTGTGTCTGTGCATGCGGTGAAATTATAAATAACCTCATATGGAATATACAGACATGATTTCTTTCCTCTCAGGCAAATCCCCTCCCCCAAAAAAGGCAACCAATTTACGTTTTTTAAAGGTAAAAGACAGCCATTACCTGTTTTTTAAAGCCGATATTCAGACGTGAAATGTGATGGCAGTGTGTGTGCCTCTACTTGGTGTTGACCCCTGAGTGTTCACCTTGTTAAGGGTTTGAGTGCAGCTGGTGTAGAGGCAGAGTGCGAGGGGAGCAGCAGAGTTCAGGCTGCATCTGAAGAGTGTTTGTCTCTGAGTGCGTGTGGACGGTCGGGGTGCGGTGCAGCTGGTGAGAAACGAGGGGAGGCTGAGATGGAGTTGATGCAGCTGCCACGCTGATACAAGACTGATCAAAACTCACCTTTCTCCCCTTTAAATCAGTCCAAACCCCCCCACACCCCCACCCGCCATACTGCTGGACTTTTCCCAGAAGAAAAACAAATGTAGTACCAGATGTTTATTCCACGCAGGCTGGTAACTATAGGAAATTGCTGAATACCTCTAATAGTTTTATATTAGCCTCATAATCCACGTTAATGTGTAACACTTTGACTGTAAACAGAAAAATGACTGCAAATGTTCAGCGTGGCACGGCCTCAGGATTGGATTAAAGAGATGGAACAATGCCGACACAACAAATTAGGTGGTTTGTGCTCCCTTTGTGCTTCTTGTTAGAAATCAAAGACATTAACAAAGTGTTCTAAAGGAACATTATTAAGTTATATTCATGCCAAACTAAAGCATCTATTCTGGAAGGCTGTGCAATTTAGTGTCTAGTATGTAAGAGAGTGGCCAGCACAAAGAGACTTGTTTGTCCATGGCCTTTTAAGTGTGGTCCTTGTTCCCTAGAAATGTGGCCGAACAATTACAATGGCTAAGAGGCATTCAGCTGCAGGTGCATTACTTCCAGTTAGATATTAGCTGATGTCTGAAAGGGGGGAATTAGCAGTATGTTGTATTAGCCTTTTGTAGTGCATTTTGCTCAGACCTTCTTCATTTCCCAGTTTTCAATGCTGAGCAGCAAGGGTCTCTGTGCTGAAATAATGCCCATCACACATGTAAATGGTGTGAAAGGGCTGCTTAGCAAAGTGTTCTCATGTCAATCCTTGTGGAAATGGATACAATGCAAACATTACAGCTGAACTAACCACACGTTGCACTGAGTAAAAAGTCCAAGGGTAGGACCTCTTTGTCTCGGAGGCTCTTTGAAAACGCAGGGGCAAATTCATTTGATTGGGTTCACTTGGCAGGATTAGAGGAGAGGCCTCTATTATGGATGCCCAAAGGTTTGTTAAGTTGAGATCAATTCATAAGATTTTATTTCCCAGTGAGAAGCAGAAATGCGTTTATTGTGGCAACTTCATCACATATTCATGGTTTAACATAAGTAGTAAATGTACTGATTTAAGTGGGCTTTTCATCGTGGAGGGGCGGGAGGGAGGAGGGTGCTGCTGTGGTCTGCTCAGCTGACAGTTTTAATTGCCTAATGGTTTTCTTTTCATTGGCGCCAAACACGTATGCTCCCGGTTGGAGTTTGCGGGATATATTGCACTCTTTTTCAGCGACAAAAATTACCACTCGGAAAAGTCCCCTAGGATCAAACTCGAAACCCTCGACGTGTTTGTAGACGTCAACTTTTTCCTGAAGTTTCATGAGTATTCAGCTACATAAATGACACCACTCTGGTTTAGCGCCAATATATACATATATGTATAAATACGGGAAAGATACAGAGATAGGCGAGATTAGGTGTTGAATCGCTAAATGGGTTCACCTTGTGTTTTATTGTTTTTGGGGTTTTTTTTTTCTTTCTCCAGGCTGATGACGTCGAGGGGAAAATTCGGGAAATCATTCCTGCTGGGTTCACCTGCAACACCGATGACTTCATCTCACTGCTGGAGAAGGAGGCCAATTTCAAGCCCTTCGGCACCCTGCTTCACACGTACACGGTCCACAGCGAGGAGGCAGGAGAACTCACTTACCAGATTCACAAGGTGGGGGACCAAAAAAGTCATCAAAGCAAACCCGCAAAGCCTTTTAGGTTTTAAAATCAGCTTTCTTTTTCATCTGGAGGATAGTTTTGCATCACAGCGATGCAGATGAGATTTAAACCCTCTTATTTTCGCTGCATTCGCCCCCACAGGCTGAGGTTACCTGCCCGGGATTCCGGGAGTACCATGAGCGCTTGCAGACCTTCCTCATGTGGTTCATAGAGACTGCCAGTTTCATTGACGCAGACGACGATCGTTGGGACTTCTTTCTTGTGTGAGTGCCCTCCTTAATTGACATCAACCCCCCGCACACACACACACGCACGCACGCACACAGAGCTCTAGCCCGCAGCTTTTATTGTGTCATTGAAAAACAAAGCCCCCCTTTGAGGCGCTTGTGACCAATTACCATGCCAGTTTGATTATATTTCCCCCCGGTAGGAGAATTGTTGATCAGGCAAGAGCTTCCTTTGTGCCGGAAGGCCTTTTCAGATTTTTCAGGGGCAAGAGCTGAATTGAATACTGTTGTCTTTTGAAATACTGAACAATGTCTTAACAGTAAAAAGAGCCTCTGCCAGTGTTTTCTTTACCCTGGCACCTATTAATGGTTACAATGGGGAAAATGGGCTGAAGTGAGTTTGAGGAGCTCAGTCCGTCCTCCAACCTCTTCTCTTCCTCTAAGTTGCAGTACTCCAATTAAGTGCATAATGTATTCAGGTTGCAGCAGGTGTACCAATCGCGGCGCTGGCTGCTCCAACGTGCTGATGTCAGGGGGGTCAGGGGTGGGCACGGGAACAGAGAGGCTAAAATGGACACTGCATGGGAGTGTGCCTGTAATTGACCTGTTTTCCTTTGTGTTTTATCTGCAGATTTGAAAAGTACAATAAAGATGGGGAGACTCTCTACGCAACTGTTGGCTACATGACAGTTTATAATTACTACGTATACCCAGACAAAACCCGACCACGTGTAAGGTAATTGCCGGGGCAGCACGTGCCTTCCCATTCTTTTGTACGAGAAAGGAGTGGAAAATTATACATTTCTTTATCCTCTTCCCAAAGAGCCCAAATTACTGGCTTATATAGCCAACTATTCAACCAGATTTTGTTTCAGTACCAAACCAGGGTGATTTGTATCTGAAAACAACTTTATAGATAAGCTTTTGATTTGATTTGATTTGTTGCATTGATGGATCCGTGTATTATTTTCTGCTTTCAATCAAAGCGAATCTGCTCCTGCTGAGAAAAACAACAAATTCTGGAGAAACCTGTTTTCTTCTTGTTTTCTTTTCCTTTTTTTGGCATTTATATTTGTGTCTGTGTCTGACCTTTAACTAAACAGCCAAATGCTGATCCTGCCTCCGTTCCAAGGAGAAGGTCACGGAGCTCAGCTTCTGGAGGCAGTACACAGATTTTATTGCAGCTTGCCCAAAGTGCAAGACATCACAGGTGAGCATCTTACTTATTTTTATTTATTTATCCCCCCCCTTTAAAACACAATTACTATGTTGAAGAAGGTGGGATAAACATTTAATCTAAGATCCAGGCGTCACCCACGAACAGTTTAAACGATTTTTCTCTGCAGTTGGTGGATCCAGACGGTGAGTTAATTTGGAGGGCTGGCTCGTATACCAGAATGTGCTCTATTGAAACTAGTTGGATCGAAATAGATGCTTTGCATGGAGATGGAGGGTGAATACTAAAGAGGCATCCCAGCCTTTTCTTTTCAGAATGAAAACCTATTCAAGACAGAACTTAAAAGTTTAGCAGTGAATAGGAAGAAGGGTTCCTGCTAACAGTTCCTCTGGTTTTGAGGAGTATTTTTTTGCCATATTTCTACTTTGAAAAGTTCCAAGGTGTGAAGTATATTGTTGTTTCTTTCACTCCTCCTCTATCTTAACACACTGGGATTGAACCAGGCCATCTGTGTCAGGGGTGTTGAAAAATCCTGAGATTAACACCATCAGCTCATTTGAGTCTTATTGTGGTTTTTGTCTGTTCACAGCTGAAGACCCCTCTGAGAACTATGTGAAGCTGAGAGACTACGTGCTGGTGAAGCTTTGTCAGGGCCTGCCATCCTTCGCTGTAGACAAACTGCACCTCGGCTTCTCAGCTGACATGATCAAAGAGGCGCAAGACAAGCTGAAAATTAACAAGGTGCTGTATGAGGGTGCAGTTGTGATAGGTTTGCAAAATTGAGTTTTATTAGTGAGGAAGAAAAGGTTTGATGACCTTTGTTATGTTTATTACTTTTTTTAGAGCAGAGATCCAAAAAGATTTTATTTGTTGTTACCAGAGGTGTGGAAAAGTCTCTGAAAGCTCAGAGTTTAGTGCCTTAGTCCTGCTATTCTCTGTTTCCTGGCATATATGCACTGTTACAATAATGGATGGGAAAAATATTAAAATAATGTGGTCAGCGTTTGTACAAGTCATCACTTCAGACTGCACTAAATGCTCCGTTTCTGGGGGTTTTCTCTACTCTCAGATCTGTGTGGGAACACAGCAGCCTCAGACACATGCACAAACCTTCTATTTGCCAGTGGAAGCAAATAGGAAGACAGTTGCGTTAAAAAGAGGGAGGAGCTTAAAAGCGGCTGCGCCACAGTCCAGTATCAGATAAATATTCAATATGTTGAATAGTGCTCCAAACACAGACGCAGGCAGTTCATTTCAGTATCAAATACAAAAACTGAGATATGCTTTTTTTTCTTTTCCGCTGTTAAATATGTGCACGGTTGCAAATGTTAGCAAATCAGTTTGCACGCTTTATTTACTTACTGAGAAATGACCTCCCAAAAATACATAAATACTGCCTATACTAGTATAGTATATAGCATAGTAGCAACTCATTTTGTTCCTTTGCTCTAAATGCTACTCAGTTCTCTGTTCTTTGGTGCTGCTGCATATCATATCATATTTTTGTTTTTTCTGTTTTTTTCTTTTACAACCTGCCCGTAACTGCTTAGGACTTCCTGTAGCCATTCAGCTGGGAAGTGTGTTTGACTCCTGTTGAGGCGTAATGATTTATTTTGAAAGTAATTAAATGAAAATAATTATCTTGTTTTTTATTGTCTGCAGAAACATGCCAGGCGAGTTTATGAAATCTTACGCCTCAGAGCGACAGACATGAGCGATGAAGACAAAGCGAGAGAGTACCGCTTAGAGGTGAAGAAGAGGCTGTTCGGACCCTACAGGGTGAGGTTTTAATTTTCACAGCTTCGCCGTGGTGTACTTTACATGTCAGTGTGGAGCGGGTCCAAAAAAGTGCCTGCAAAGTGACATTCAAAGTGATTCCTCGGTGCATTCGAATAAATCTGAATGTCAACTTGTCTCTGCTGCTGTCAAACAGGAATCCAGTGTGCAGTCTTCCACCTTTTGTTAGCATAACATTATAGCTATTCAGTGTAGGAAGAAAAGTGGCCCGTGTACTGCACACACTTGATCAGCTTACAGCCCCGTATTGTCACTGTTTATTATGTTACCTTTTAAAACAGCAGAAAAATTGATCTTCAGTCCTGTGAAAATTGATAGAATACTAGTGCCGCATTGTTACAGCCACAATAGGGCGCACCAGGCGTCTGTGGTTCTGCTGCCGCTGGAGCTTTTTTCTATTCAGGCACATGTCATTAGTCGGGATTTGCATTTCTTTGAAGGAAATAATTTTCATGAAAGTGTGTTTAAAGCACTTTGTCAGAAAGCTGCTACTATTCAGAATTCACTCCTTTTCATTTGATTCTTATCAAATGGTTTCTTGATGGACTTTTTTTTTGGAGGGGGGGGGGAGTTTGAGAGACTGAGCGAACAGAGTATCGAAAATGTCCGTTATTCTGCGTCTTGATTCTTGTCAGTGGGAAATGCTGTGTCTATGCACCAGAATAACTCCCTGCATCCTGTTTGGCTTGTGATATTTTATGTCCGATCTGCTCGCTGAGGCTTTGCATACTATCCATTAGAGACTTTGCTGTCATCAGGGCAACCGCATGTCTCAAAAAAGGCAGAATGTGACATGGAAAAGACCTATGCGGCGAAGTGGGAAGGAGGAATTCCTTGGGAGAGTGGCAACGAAGGATCTGGTGGCCAGATGCAGAGCCAGATTTTCCTTCCCTGAGGAGATTTTGCATGTAGTTAGCTGAATGGCAGAGCTGCTCTGTGAACGTGAAGGGGGATTTTGCATTTCTGCTCTTACCGCCAATTCCCCAGCGACTGTGTGTGCATGCACGTGTGTGCAGGCTTTTCACACAGCCGATTAGACTGCACAATGTAAGAGAAAATGCACAATAACATTTTTCAACACGACGTTACGGTGTGATAAACAAAAACTGTAGCCTTTAACAGGTGTGCTGATAACACAGATCCCCAAACACCGTGTACCCTTTGCCCAAGGGTGACTGAAAGCAGGTCATCTTCTTATTAGAAGGTTGGGTGTTGCTGCTCTAGTCTTCGTGCCAAAGGGGAAGAGAATTCCTCCTGATGCCTTCATCAGGAATCAGACTGTGTGTATAATATTTGCTAGAAAGCACTTAGACATAGAAAAAAGTGCTTTTATTAAGGTGTGTGTGAACATGTGAACGGCACACGTTGTATAAAGTCAAGTAGAAAAGCGGTATATATAAGAACCAGTCCATTTACCAATAAATACAGAAATAAAATAAATTACTAAATTGGAGTTTGGAGATGGGGAGGCATCGTGTGTGGTCTGATTTATTATGTTTGATGCTGCGTTTGCAACGTGTCTGTCGCATGTTCATTATCTAATCTAACCACCCATGTCCAGAAATGGCAGCGATCAATTTCACTTCTTTTTCAGGTGTCAAGACATATAAATGATAATCACTGGTTATTAATTCTCTAGAGGTATAAAATAACCTAAAGTATATTTCTGTGTTGTATAGTATGTGTAACAGAGATCTTTAAACTTAAAAAGCTACTTAGCATTTAAGATGTCTTTTTATTTTTGTTTTTTTGTTTTTAATTTACTTTTGAACGTTGTTTGCCTTTGTTAGACAGGACAGTTCAGAGAGTAGAGACAAAAAAAGGACCAGACCCCTGGAGTAAAGACTCTAGTCTATGCTTCACGGGTTTTGTATCAATCAGGTAAACCTACAGCAGAACCATCTCACCTAGAAGCAGGACCTCTTCTAGGTGAGATGGTTCAGGTGTATTTTACCTGTAGGCAGCCCTTGGGTAGATGAAGGACAGAAATTGGTAAAGCCCCCACAACTCGGACCTGCATAATTATGAGAAAATGGATGGATGGATCTCCATTGTTCACATTTTTGAGCTATTTAACGACTGTAAACTTCTGCCGTCGTCTTCTGTCATGAGGAGGATTTCAGACACTGTTTGATGGATTACTGTACACTAAGAACCCTTTATTAGAGAGTAACTCATTCTCTAACTTTCCAATAACGAGCCATGCAGTCAAAACCATGATGTTAAAGCCATTGAAAGAAGAATGTGTGTTACACAATAAAGACTGAATAAAGAGATGACTCCAAAGATGAGAGAGTAGCATATACAAAGACTTTAATGGAGATTATTTTTCTGATATTTAATCAGTTTTTCATATAAAAAGACTCCAGTGCATTGAAGTTTAAGTCTTTTTTGGTATTGGAGGGTTAAAAAAACCCCTCAAATCTTTTCATAAACGAATTAAAAGAAAAATTATGCTAAGTAAACATTTTAAACTGATGACTTTCTGGCTGCAGTCTTTCTTCTCTATGCCAGACAGCAGCTTTGAACTCTTCCTCTATACAGAGTTTGTCTTTAATCAAAAACAAGACAAAAAAACTGCAACTACTATGCTGAAAAGACAAGAGAGCCTTCTTTAGGTGTTTATCCAACATGTGCTGAAGACACAGGAAGGCGTTTGAGCCAAAATTTGAAATCAGAAGAATTTGTATGCATGCGGCCTCAGCCACTGATTTATGTCATTTATTTTGTGCAGAAGAATCAGAGGGAGCTGGCGAAGATGAGGAAGTGCCTACGGCCAGAGGAGCTGGTGTCCCACATGAGTCAGATGGACACTCAGACACAGCACGAGGAGCTGGAGAAGAGTTATCAGGATGTTGTGGAGGACTACAGGAGAATCATTGAGAGGCTAGCATCACAGGCCTGATCTGACTGTGAGAGGCTCCTGACCTGGAGCGTACCCGCTCCCACATTACCACAGACTTTTTGCAGCAACCAAGAAGAAGACCTCTTGATGCAGCAAAAAAAGGAAGAGAAAAAAAAAGAGAAATCACTGTTTTAATTGAAGAGTGTCACAAATGTATAGTAGCTGGTGATAGGCTGTAGTAGAAAAGGGCCTTTCTGTTTCCCAGCTGGTGTTGATACAGTAGAGGTGAGTAGTGCAGCCCAAGGGCAGAGGCTTCCTGTTTGCTTCATGTGTTTAAATCACAACGTTTGACATGAAATGACACGTAATATTTCACAGGTGATCAGAGGTACACTGTCCTGCAGAGAAACCCTGCTTCTTTTCCATCATAGACATTTTTTAAGAGCTTTTGTCAAAACAGTTTCCAGTGTGTGTGTGTGTGTGTGTGTTTTGAAGCACTTCATACTGAAAGTTAAAAAAGAAAAGTGTTTTTTGTATTTTTGGTGTGATTCTTGTCATTGAGAAGAAAATAAAATGGAGCAACTGAGTTTCTGTTTTTGGTCGTTAAGAGCTTTATTTGATATAATGATTTTCTGCTCAGAAATACAAATGTACTGTTTGAAATAAACAATTTAGCATAAAAAATATTTTGAAAGCAAATTAAGAAGACAAATTAAAACGTGGTCTATAGCACTGTTAGTGCTGCAGGCTGTTTTAAGATTATCAGGTTAGAATATGAATAGCACCAATAGGATTAGAACTACTTTATTTGGATTCAGTGTACTTCACTGATGTTTTTACATTGTTCCTCCTGCTTTTTTACTCCACTTTGTTTTGGATGCAGTGATTGCACTTTGTACTCACTGGTCAACTGTGGCACAGGAAGTAGAGTGGGCTACTAATTAGAAGATCAGTGGTTCTATACCGGGCTCCTCTGTATGTCAAAGTACCCCCCCCAACCAGTTTCCTCAGATAGCCCATCCCTCATTGAGCCTGGTTCTGCCTGAGGTTTCTTCCTGTTAAAGGGGAGTTTTTCCTTCCCACTATCGCCACATCCTCAGATGGGTTCTCTGATTGTTGGGGTTTTCTCTATATTATTGTAGGGTCTTTAACTTACAATATATGAATGAGTTATTGCAAGTACTTTAAATATATTTAGTAGAATCTATGTACTATTAAGCTACTTAAGTAGGATTTTAACATTTACTTAAGTAAAAACAATTCACCTATTTAAATAATAGGGTTTAAATATGTGCAAATTTGGGGCGTGGTCACTTTAACTAACAGGTGTAGCCGTATGCTAGGTGTCGCCTCTGCTAAGAGAAGAAACTGAGCTGGACCTTCTAAAGTGGTCTCGTGTTTTTAATTGTACTAACTGTGCTGCAGTTTTGGTGAGTAAAAGTCTAGTGATTTATTTACGTGTTAGTTACGAGATGTCGGTATCTAGTTAAGCTTGTTAGCATTAGCTGATAATTCAGTGCTCCACACTCCTGCCTTAACAAGATCATTTTTGGCTCCAAGCATCCAGATGGCTGATCTACAATGATTAGCCAAACCCGAATTGCTAGCCTATAATTATTAACCATTCGTGATCCTTAGAATACAATGTTCTGCTTTAAAAACCCTAGATCCAGGCAAGTACAGAAGCACCCACCTAAGTCCTAAGCATTGCTGCAGACCAACACACCCACTACCACGGGGAAATGCCACTATCCTACAGCTGGGACCTCCCCTAACAGATAACTTGCCCTCCATAACATAAGTGCCCATGCCCTAACCCACACATTGTTAGTCAGGTAGCTTTTATTTTTGAAACATTTTCAGACTTGGACTCTACTAGAATGGCTTTGCATGAACTGCTGATCAAAATAATGCATATTTATGTAATTTTGGACCTTGGTGCAGCCTCTGATGGAAACTTAATTTCTTCTGATCGGCTAACCCTGGCAAACGTTAGGTTTGCCGTGTGCCTGACCACATTAAGGATATCCCTTCTCTTTGATATCACGCAGATCCACAAGTAAATGGTAAATGGCCTGTATTTGTATAGCGCTTTACTAGTCCCAAAGGACCCCAAAGCGCTTTACACATCCAGTCATTCACCCATTCACACACTGGTGATGGCAAGCTACATTGTAGCCACAGCCACCCTGGGGCGCACTGACAGAGGCGAGGCTGCCGGACACTGGCACCACCGGGCCCTCTGACCACCACCAGTAGGCAACGGGTGAAGTGTCTTGCCCAAGGACACAACGACCAAGACTGTCCAAGCCAAGGCTCGAACCGGCAACCTTCCAATTACAAGGCAAACCCCCAACTCTTGAGCCACGATCGCTCCGAGTACAGAAAACAGCCTGACACGGAGCTTTTATAGCAGTGTGAACTGTGAAATCTGTGATATGATCCTCTGGCATATAACTCTAGGAAAGCACGAAGGTCTCCTCTAAGGATTGACAGAGACAGACCCCCACACTGTTTCCTCACTGTGTGTGTTTTCAAAGGCGTAATAATTGTATTTCACATCCTCAAGCAATTCCCAGTCTTCTGATTAATGCTCTGTTCTTCTTGGTTGCATTATTTAATTGCACTTATTTATTTTCAGCTTTGAAACTAAATAGAGGGGTGTATTCATCATTTTGTGTTATCATACCCCCCTTCATCATAATCTTATGCTCAGTAGTGATGCATTCTTGTTCTTGTAAAGCAGTTTCCACCTTATAAATATGTCATCAGTGGAACTTAGTAAGGAAAGTTAACAACAGCCTTTCTATATACTTGTGTAAAATCTGCAGTTTTTCCTCTCTAATGCCATATCATAGATCGCAACTTGCCTGATTAATTCATTTTCCCTTGTGTGTTGTTATCCGTGTAAGGGGGGGAGGGGATTTTTGACCAGGCACCCTCTCACAGCTAATGCAACTTCTGATTGGTGCTGATGTTGAGTGTTGAGACTAATGAGTATTATGCTTTTCAATTGAAAACCTTTGTGCCACTGTATTGCCCCCGCTTGTGCAGATCACTGTGATGAATACCCATCATACTTTAAAATACTTTAGCACATTGTCGCTAAATGAAGGCTGCCAGGTCAATTTTCAATTTTTTCCCCCTCTCTCCTCTTGAAACAAGACAAAACCTTGGAACCCTTCACATCCTCTAATTCAGACTGATTGAATCCACTCATGGCCACGAGGGGCCTCATCTCACTGTAGTTTTCTCTGCTTTTTCTGCTGTGAGTGCACATTTTGCATTGCGCTGCATAAGCTCAGCCGGCTGACCTGCTAGTGGGAAGTGGCATTATTGTTTAGTGAGTTTGTATGCCGTCTCATTAATTCCACTTTCAGACATTGTCAGACTCTCACAGCATGCTCACAGCTTCACATATCTGATGGACAAGGGCAACAAACTGCTGTGGATATGGCCGGTTTGGAGGATTTGCAGGCCCCTTGCAGTTGTCAGAAGGGTGTGAAACCTCTTTTGACCCTTTAGACCACACAGTTGAGTTTAGAAAAGCTTAATTATGCTATCCTGGGTCTGATGCCTGTTGCATGTCTGCATCGTCATGAAGCAGTATAGAGGAGACTGATTCGGTAGAAAGGAAACTGTGGCATGTTGGGAAATATGCATTTTCACTTACTAGACCAAGTGCATCTAAGGAAATGCTCACCAATATTCCAGTCACAAATGCTCGATTTTAGTGCTGCTGGGTGAGTTTAAGATAAGACAGAGCCCAGCTAAGCTACACTCATCAGCCACTATTAAAAGACGTTCCTTTAAAGCCAATATCTAATCATGCAATCACATGGCAGCAACGTAGTGGATTTAGGCACATACTCTAGACGATCTGCCGAAGTTCAAAGTGAGCATCAAAATGGGGTGAAAAAGGTGATTTAATCAACTTTGAATGTGGCATTCTTATTGGTGCCAGATGGGCTGGTCTGAGTATTTCAACTGGTGATTTGCTTTGATTTTCCCACACAACCATCACTAGGGTTTACAGAGGATTGTTGGAAAAGGAGGAAATATCCAGTAAGTGGCAGGTAAAAATGTCTTGTTGATGCCAGACATCAGAGGAGAATGGTCAGACTGCTTCAAGCTGATAGGCAGAGAATAGTAACTCAAATAACCACTGGCCACTACCAAAACACGCAGAAGGTCATTTCTGATGACGCCACACATCACTACCAAAGCCTACCTGACTATGTGCATCTCTTCATGACCACAATGATGGTTTCTTGAACATGACAATGAGTTCACTGTAGTCAAATGGCTTCCTCAGTCAACAGATCCCAATCCAGCAGAGCACCTCTGGGCAGTGGCAGAACAGGAAATCCACATCATGGTTGTACTGGTGTTGAAGAAAGTATTTGATTAATCATCGTTATTGTTTTTCAGCTGAAGTTCCAATAATCACTCCTCGCTTATATTAACCCGTTTTATAAAAGAAAAAAAATATCCACTTATTTTGGAGAGAGAACTATTTTGGATACAAATCAGCAACTAATTTTAGTTGTTTTCTTTCTCATTTACTCTGAATCCAACTGGAATATAATTAACAAAAGGTCAGATAATGAAACTTTCTGTGTTGTGTTTTTTTTTTTTTTATTGAAGTGAATTTTTATGTTGAAATCCTAGTTTTCAGTTCAGGTCAGTTCTGAAGCCATATGAGCTGTCAGACACACACACACACACACACACACACACACACACACACACACACACACACACATATATATATACATATCAAAGCCATCATAGTCCAGACTAACGTGCGGTATCCAACATTTCTATTCCAGTTTATTCACCCTCTGCAGTCGATCGGCCACTCAGGTGCAGTGAATTGAAATCTGAAGCAAGCAGTGCACTTTCTGCCGGAGTCGAAGCTATTACCGTGGATCCAGCCGTGGGCCCTCGGTTGCCGTGCTTTTGTAAGGGGGGGATAAAGCCTGTTTGCATCAGAGTGGAGATGTGGGAGGTTGATTTATGTCTGAAAGTCTCAGGGGTTTCAGTCTCCCCTCTCTCAGTTTTCATATTTCACCGGATAAAAAGAAAAAAAAACCTGGGCAGACGTGCATTAATGTTTGCATATCCTTGCTGCTCTTGATCATGTTTAATCATGCAAATAATTGCATGCAACCTGCATTAAAGCAGGCAGAAAGGCTTATTGCCAGTTCTTCTGTGAAATAACAACAACAGTATCAAGCTTGACTTGAATATTTAGTTTCACTTGTTGGCATTTGTGCTACTGTGACCTTATGGCGCCTGCACCTCTCTCCACTGAGGCAGACAGTCAGGGAGTTTGGACCGGAGCCCAGCTGTACTGAAGGACCTGCTGAATATGATACCTGCGTGGAGGAGCTCCAGCGTCTTGGCCCCCAGGTTCCCAGGAGAGAGCCAGGGAGGAAAGTTAGAATCCCCCCCAAACCCTTCCCACCCCCTCAACCCTCTCCCACCACCGCTGCTTTTCTTATCGGGTATCCATTTCTTTTGTGCTCCTTGGTTACCCACATACCCCCAGGCTACGGAGCCCCCTCGTCACCGCCAGTGAACCTGGCCAGT